AACCATATACATTTAATATCGGGAGTGTTCCTGTAGAGCAGGAACTTCAACTCTGGACCTCGATTCCAAATCCAGGCCGTGTTTTCAGTTCTCCCAGGTAGTTGTTTAATAATTACTGATTCTGATTGGTCAGAGGCTTCACACCTGACTGACAGGTAAAGGAAGGCTGGAAAACCAGCAGGGCTCGGACCTCGAGGACCGTGAGTTGAATAACCCTGCTGTAGAGGGACGAGCAGGTGGCACGACGGAACATGTGAACAAACAACGGCAGCTTTAGATCTTAGCTAAATCGTTACCAACTGCTGCCATATGACCAGGCAAACACTGGTAAACAGCTATAGCCCAGCGGGTTGACGTACAAAAGTAGCCTGAAGCTTTGCCATAAATCACACAAAACTTCAGAAGATTTCCTGAAACTTCGGATTAAGCACAACAGACCAGTAAAACCAAATGAAACCACACAGCCTGTTTTACTCAGCATTACACATTTATGACATTTGCACATATCACTGTAACAACCACCATAATTTCAGTGAAAATACAGTAGCATTAATCATTCAACGTAATGCACAGGCATGTTACTGAAGGACCCAAGCATCTGTTAACATGAAATCAGAGACCCTGAATTAGTATGTTTCAGAGAGTTTGCCACCATACTAACATGTCATTTCACTGTTGATGCTACAGTGCCTTGTGTAATTTCAATGCACTGTACTCTGTTATTAGACAGGGAAGACAGGTGGACTGATGCTGTAGGTACATCACCCCCCCCGCCCCACTATCTGCTCCAATTCTGCCAGACTGGGGGGTAAAATTATAGAGATTCGTTTTACTCCTCATGTTGATTAGCACAACAGATGGGCATAAATTTACCACACATATAACACACTTAGTTTAGGGTGCAAGGGTTGGTATCTTTATCAGCCTGGATTTGCAGCCAAAATAATATCACCCTTTATAAAAGGAGGCTGAATCTACTTAGGTTTCACGTATAAAATACAATAAAAGAAAAAAAAAAAAACAAACAAAAGAACAAAATGACACATGACAACATGCTACCTGAATCACTGAGTCGGTGATGTGGGAGGGGCTTAGAGAATCATTAAAACATTAAGCATTTCAAAGAGAATATTGAAACTACAGAATGAAGAACAGGAGCACATGGCGGGGGTATCGCCCCCCCCCCATACTGCCAGCTGGATCAGGGACAGCTTGTGTGGAAAGGGGGCATCGTGTGGGACTGCGAGAATGTGGAAAGGAACCCGCGGAGAAGAAGGCAGCGGAAACAGGGGACGCCGGGATGCAGCTGCACTGGCATGTGTGTGTGTGTGTGTGTGTGTGTGTGTGTGTGTGTGTGTGTGTGTGTGTGTGCGCGCGCGCTGTGCGCCCGTGTGTCCATTAGTCAGGCCTCGCCAGCTCCTGTCATCGCTTCATATTGCTCAGCCGGACGCTCTTCTCCAGCTCAAACTGACGGTGGTCCACCCTCTCCAGGAAGTTCTTCCTCTCCAGGTATCTAGGACACACACAGACACAAAGACAGACAGCTTAAAAAGCATGCAAACAATTTACCTACGCAGTAGTGCATTGTGGGTACAGCATTCCTGTATGTGTACAACAATGACTTGCGCAGTCATTGTTATGCTTCTGAAGGAAAACAGAAAACTCTGCATTTCCCAGTCTGTCTCTCTCGGCGTCCCTCTAGCTGACGCCAGTCTGTTCGGAAATGCCTCAAACTGATAAACCACCTCCATCACGGTAAGCGAATACTTAAAGCGAAAACTGCTTCTCAGGCCAGTCCAGACCCCCAGACGGTCTGCATTTTTGCCCCCTCCCTGCTCACAGCCAATCAAGAACACCGAATGCCTGGTTTAGGTGTGCTGGGAGCTGGGAGGGGGTGAGTGAGCACTGGGTTGAGAAACACTGAAGTAAATGATCACATCGCTGATCTGGCCCTGGCAAAGACGGGAGCTGACAGCCAGTGGGGCCCCAGCCTACCGGCACTTGGGGACACACACCGGGCCCCCCACTGGTTTCAAACACCACAGGCAGACCGGCCTCCTCCGGGGAGCTGCGGGAGGTGTTAATCCCCGAGGTATACCATTACACATCATCACGGGTGACAGGCTGGGAGGGAACAGGGGGACAGAAAGGCATTTCCAGGGCGTTAATCTGCAGCAAGGACACCGTTATGGGAGCTAAAAGATATGCTGGTCCGTCTCCTCCTCAGACTGAGTACGGCTGCGCTTCTGTTCACTCACACACACACACACACACACACACACACACACTCAACCCACAACAGCGCAGAGCGAGCTAATGGAGGGAAGTCACAGTCCCTGTCCATCGTGAGGCACTGCAGCCATCATCCAGAAGGTCTTTCATTTATGTTCTGAAAAAGCACAGTGATGGATTCTGTCTATAATGGGGACATTTTAATCCAAAACCTACCCATTCATTCAACTGGCCTGGCAATTTCACTACAGCTGGTTAGGTTCTTTTCTCAGGGGTACTAGAGACTCAAGCCAGTTATGAGCTTAGTCCTTAGCCACTCTGCCACCTACTGATCCATCCGATGTAGAGCAGGCACAGGAAGCAGGCCCATAACCATCGTGTTCCCCACCCTTTCCTTATCACTGATCTCACGACTACCCAGGGGAGGAAGGTTTCCTGTGGCCAGGCAATCTGGACCCCGCTTCCCCTGGCTATGTACCGCCCTCCAGCAATCCCTGTGCTTGGTTGTCCAGAATGCCCCCCCCCCACCACGCCGCCAAAGGAGATGGGAAACAGACAAGGGGAGTTCCGGCTCACGGCGGCCATTTTAAAACCTGACCATATACCTACTTACAGGCACCAGAACAAGCCCGGCAACGAGGAGGTCCACCAGTCACACCTTCTTCTGGAACGGACGTTTAAACCAGTCTCATTCACAGAATGAATTTGAGTTTTACAGTCTCAACCGGATTTTCCACATTAGAAGAGATAATTTCTGCATTTTTGTTATATGTCACTAAATTCTATGCATGAAATAAAAAACAAAATGTATAATAAAAAACAAAAATAAATTGACCATCCATCAACAACGAAAACACTGAAGCAGAGGTGCATGATTATCACCGCGCCTCTGTATGAGTCTGTTTGTTTACAAGGCTGTGCCACATTCGGGGAGGGGGGTCACGGGCCAGACACCCATTGGAAGACAATGATGTCATAGAAGGAAACCTTCCAGCGGTGGTTCCAAACCTTAGATGGAGCCCCCACATGGCATTCTGGGTAATTACAGCCCTCTTACTGTCTTCGTCACTCCGTGCTTTATCTGGATCCAGTGTCAGAGAGCTGGCCGATCCGGTCATGTGGGGCGTAGCGACACGCGATACCACGCCGCGGTCCCACCGCGAGGCCCCGAGAGCCGGCATCCATAGTGGCAGACCACGGGGCAGCACCGGATGGGCCGCGGATGGGCGTCTGTGAAAATGCCGGTTCCTCCCGAGTAAAGCTGCCCATCCGTGTCACTTTGGCTTAGGAAACCCAAACCCATCACCTATTGTCTCATGGTGCTTTTTTGTAGCGAAAAACTGGATCGTCTGCCCTCAGCTCGGCGCAGACTCATCTGAAGGACAGCGGAACTCCAGGGTGTAAAGCGAGCGCAATGCATAGCCTCTCCCCCGTCTGAGCTTCACTGTGCTCCCCCCGGGTGACGTAATGCTCTCGCTCTGCCGCCTTAGACCCCCCAGGCTTCTCTGCCAATTAACCCCCCCCCCCCCGTCCATTGTAGCGGGACCTGTGAGATCATCTAGTAAAAATAAAGGTCAAAATAAGCCCAGGGAAGGGGGAGGGTGAGAGTAGCACGTGTTCGCTATGTTTCTGAGGTGCCTACAGTTGAGGTTTGAACATACAAGCCGTGATGAACACATGATGCAGCTGTGACACCCTAGTGTGGGGTCACACTAACCCTAACCCTAGTGTGGGGTCACCGGCGGAGCCGACCCACTGATGTTAGGGCTTCAGAGCACAGACAGCGGTGAAGCAGGGTGGCAACACCAGCGGACGCATCGGCGATTTCAATAGTTTAACCTTTTAAATCTTCTTCAGATGTAAACATACTGGGAGGTCATAAAAAAAAAGTGAAAATAAATCGATTATTTTTGGAAATGAACTGACCCGTCCGCAAAACCCCGGTACCAGAGTTAGGTACCCCTGGTCTAGATGGTACAGCCCACCGCGACGGCCTTGGGAAGGCGGAAGCAGGGCCTCAGGAAAGGCGCGGCCTTGGGAAGGCGGAAGCAGGGCCTCAGGAAAGGCGTGGGCTTCTCGCCAGCCTCTCCAAGCCGCCAG